ATTAGATATATATAAAATTATATTGTCACTTTATTTTTTATAGTTGTACAACATGTTAAATCGATACTACGAATCAGAATTAACTTTTAATTTTTTTCATTACTTTCCCATAACGCAACTATCTATATTGAAGGTAGGTGTACTTTAAAATGTTAAAATTATATTTATTTCAATATAAATCAATTTTAGCATTTTTTTCTCTTGCAGGCATTCTGTTTTTTATCACTCAAGCTCTCGTTGTTATAAATTTATACGAAAGTTTCAGTATCAATTAATAGTATCAATACTATAATTAGAAGAGTGGACGACTTGTACTTACGTACAATAATCTACAAAGAAGTGGTCCCACCAGAGGCTAAGTGAATAAACCCAATGGTGGCGGGTTCGCATCCCACCCAATGTCTAGCTGAGTAGTTTTATGGGTTATCTTGAAGTGTCGATGATGAATCACTCAATCACTCAGTCAGTCAGGACAAGTAATTTTATATATTTATATGAGTTTAATTATTGATTGATGAAATAAAATCAAACGTATGTATAATTTTATAATTTACAAAAGTAAATGAGAAAATATTATCAAATTTATTTTCTTTAAAACTAGAAATCCCTTCACTTATTTTACATAAATTTTTATGAAATCAAATTATTTAAACATAATGTCAATTTGTTTAATGTAACTCTATGTTTAAATTTTTTTTGAAAACTTTATATAAGATAAGTCAATTCTCTTAACATCCTTATAAAATTGAACTGAGTTTGTCAGAGAAAATTTTGGTCTGATAGAAACATGTAATGCCTTTATAGGTATTAACTGGACAGCATGTGCTTAGGGCAACGTTTCTCAATTTTTTTGAGCCCAAAGAGAAGTAAAATATATTAAAAAATTCTACGAACCATTAATTTATTTAGGTCTAAATATTTTAAAGTTATGTGGGTATTACCAACATTTCGGATGCCATTTATAATATAAATAAAAAACATGCTTTTAATACATATAGAAACATAACTAAATTGGAAGTAAAATATTTAAACTGAATCATCATTGAACAAAGTTTAAATTTAAATCTGCCAGAGGATCACATGTCCCATCATCTCGTATCACAGGTTGAGAAACGGTTGTTTAGAGGAACTATACTCTATTATATCAAATTTCCTGTACCAAACTGGTGATTTTATGAGTTTTGCTCAACTTTTGTTTCAACCTCAAGAAATTAGTATTAAGCATCTTTCTGCGTTATTATCAAAAATTCTATAACGTAAACACTAAAATATTTATTTAAATAAATACCGCTTTAGAAACGTAATACATATTATATCATTATACATATCTCTAAGTAACAGAACTCTCGTCTTTTATCAAAAATATTTTATTTAAATACCTTATTATGAAGTAATTTCAGTAATAATTAATTATATAGAGTTTCAATATTGTTTATAATTCTTAAGACATAAAATATTCTATATATTCATTACAGTGCTAAAGAGGATCTAGATAACATGAAAGTAATTATGAGTAATAATATTTAAATTATTTGAATAATTTGATATTTACGACAAGTATTGCTAACAAATATGAAACTTGAATTGAAACTTCATATATTTGAATTAAGCAAATCTATCATAAAAACAAAATATATTTTTGTTTATTTCAAAATTTATATTACGAAATTCGTGCTATATATAGCTTAATACATATACAGTATATATAGGACTATGCGTATGCCTGTCCANTTTTCTGAAATTTTAAGTGTCCTAAGCGACATTTTACCATGAAAGAATTTCCAGAAGCATTTAAATACGAAAGCAAAAGAAATATGAGTCTCAATGGCGTAGCGAGGGGGTGCAAGGGGGTGTATCGGGCGCCACTCGCAGAGGGGCACCCAAATGGTCTTCAAGACAAACTATATGTGTTTCTGGAGGAGGGAGGGGGCACAAATAAAGTGTCGTGCCCCGGGCGCCAGTTATGTTCGCTACGCCAGTGATGAGTCTTGATTATAAATGTATTCTTCGGTAATTTAATTAATTTATTTATTAACTAGCTGTTACCCGCGTCTTCGCCCGCGGGGATTTTGCAAGCAAACCCCATTTATATTCAGTATTTCAACGACCATAGTAATTGTTATTTAACATCTACCGCTGAGAATAATGAGAATTGCCAAGAATCAAACGAACTATTTTCAATTTGATCAATTTTCTGAAACGTTTACAATCGTTCTATAATCGAATCAATATGCAATAACAAATTCGAATTTGGTTAAAAAATCTAAATATACAAAAATATTTATAACAATGTCTGAAATGTTATCAATTTAATACACCTAAGTATTCAATAAAGACTAAACATAGTTGAAAACAAAAAAATTGCATCTGAAATAGTACAGTAGAAACCGTTCTTCACGTTAAGCCTTAATTCTCTCTCTCTCCCCCGCGGGGGAATCCCTTCTTAGTGAGCGTTTTCATGACGTACCCTATCTGTGTACCAAATTTCACCTCTTTAGATTCAGTGATTTGCTCTGGCCGATGATGAATCAGTCAATCACTCACTCAGTCACTCAGTCAGTCAGGACAAGTAATTTTATATATTTATATGAGTTTAATTATTGATTGATGAAATAAAATCAAACGTATGTATAATTTTATAATTTACAAAAGTAAATGAGAAAATATTATCAAATTTATTTTCTTTAAAACTAGAAATCCCTTTACTTATTTTACATAAAATTTTACGAAATCAAATATTTTAAACATAATGTCAATTTGTTTAATTTAACTCTATGTTTAAATTTTTTGAAGACTTTATACAAGATGAGTCAATTCTCTTAACATCCTTATAAAATTGAACTAAGTTAGTAGAGAAAATTTTGGTCTGATAGAAACATGTGATGCCTTTATAGGTATTAACTGGACGACGTGTGCCTAGGGCAACGTTTCTCAATTTTTTTGAGCCCAAGGAGAAATAAAATATATTAAAAAGTTCCACGAACCATTAATTTATTTAAGTCTAAATATTTTAAAGTTATGTGGGTATTACCAACATTTCGGATATACTATGTCATTTATAATATAAATTAAAAAACATGCTTTTAATACATATGGAAACATAACTAAATTGGAAGTAAAATATTTAAACTGAATCATCATTGAACAAAGTTTAAATTTAAATCTGCCAGAGGATCACATGTCCCATCATCTCGTACCACAGGTTGAGAAACGGTTGTTTAGAGAAACTATACTCTATTATATCAAATTTCCTCTACCAAACTAAGTGTGATTTTATGAGTTATCAAAAATTCTATAACGTAGACACTAAAATATTTATTTAAATAAATACTGCTGTAGAAACGTAATACATATATCATTATACATACCCCTGAGTAACAGAACTCTCGTCTTTTATCAAAAATATTTTATTTAAATACCTTATTATGAAGTAATTTCAGTAATAATTAATTATATAGAGTTTCAGTATTGTTTATAATTCTTAAGACATAAACTATTCTTTATATTCATTACAGTGCTAAGGAGAATCTAGATAACATGAAAGTAATTATGAGTAATAATATTTAAATCATTTGAACAATTTGATATTTAAGACAAGTATTGCTAACGAGTATGAAACGAATTGAAACTTCAATTGTAAACGAATGTATTATAAAAATAGGATGTATTTTTCTTCATTTCAAAATTTACATTACAAAATTTGTGCTATATATAGCTTAATACACAGACAAATACACACACACACACACAAACATATATATATATACAGTATATATAGAACTTTGCGTATGCNTATATTCATTACAGTGCTAAAGAGGATCTAGATAACATGAAAGTAATTATGAGTAATAATATTTAAATTATTTGAATAATTTGATATTTACGACAAGTATTGCTAACAAATATGAAACTTGAATTGAAACTTCATATATTTGAATTAAGCAAATCTATCATAAAAACAAAATATATTTTTGTTTATTTCAAAATTTATATTACGAAATTCGTGCTATATATAGCTTAATACATATACAGTATATATAGGACTATGCGTATGCCTGTCCATACGCTGTGGACAAGACAAAATGAAGAATATGAACAACCCTTACAGTTTGTCTGAAGTTAAAATTGTAAACGCTTCGAATGCTTTCAAAAAGAAGAGATATGTAACTATAAGTATAATATTTTCAGCATTAATTATATTAATCCAGACAATGCCGATGGTTGCTGTGACTCAGGAACAAATTCAAATTCAAATTCAATATCAAAAACGTAAGTTATCAATTAGATTCATATTTATTATTTAATGACAGAAAAGGGATGAAAAGAACGCACTTTTTTCAAGTGAAACTTTAAATCACGAATTGTATTTTTTGGTTAAATATTAAATAATTTNCATTAAAAATTGTAAATAAAAATGTTCCGAGCCTAGAATCTATATTTTAAAGTTACAAACCACTGTGCGTTGTATGATCCTGTATCGTGATTGCATCAGTTAACGTTCAGAATGCGTTATGGCTTTTCTTAATCACCACAACGCGTAGTGGTCAATTATCATGAAAGCCATGACACGAATTTCGCTTCGTGGCAGTTTTGAAACGACCACAATGCGTTCTGGTCGTTTTTTTCTCTCAATGAGCGATTTCGGTCTTTGAGCCTAACATTTACATAAACTTTTCTGAAATTTCAAATGTTTTAAGCAACCTTTCACCATGAAAGAATTTTCCGAAGCATTTAAATACGAAAGCAAAAGAAATATTAGTCTTGATTATAAATGTATTCTTCGGTAATTTAATTTATTTATTTATTAATGAGTTTAATTGTTGATTGAATGAATGAAATCAAACGTATGTATAATTTCATAATTTACAAAAGTAAACGAGAAAATATCAAATTTATTTTCTTTTCAACTAGAAATCCCTTCACTTATTTTACATAAATTTTTATGAAATCAAATATTTTAAACATAATGTCAATTTGTTTAATGTAACTCTATGTTTAAATTTTTTTTGAAAACTTTATACAAGATAAGTCAATTCTCTAACATCCTTATAAAATTGAACTGAGTTAGTCAGAGAAAATTTTGGTCTGATAGAAACATGTAATGCCTTTATAGGTATTAACTGGACAGCATGTGCTTAGGGCAACGTTTCTCAATTTTTTTGAGCCCAAAGAGAAGTAAAATATATTAAAAAATTCTACGAACCATTAATTTATTTAGGTCTAAATATTTTAAAGTTATGTGGGTATTACCAACATTTCGGATGCCATTTATAATATAAATAAAAAACATGCTTTTAATACATATAGAAACATAACTAAATTGGAAGTAAAATATTTAAACTGAATCATCATTGAACAAAGTTTAAATTTAAATCTGCCAGAGGATCACATGTCCCATCATCTCGTACCACAGGTTGAGAAACGGTTGTTTAGAGGAACTATACTCTATTATATCAAATTTCCTGTACCAAACTGGTGATTTTATGAGTTTTGCTCAACTTTTGTTTCAACCTCAAGAAATTAGTATTAAGCATCTTTCTGCGTTATTATCAAAAATTCTATAACGTAAACACTAAAATATTTATTTAAATAAATACCGCTTTAGAAACGTAATACATATATCATTATACATATCTCTAAGTAACAGAACTCTCGTCTTTTATCAAAAATATTTTATTTAAATACCTTATTATGAAGTAATTTCAGTAATAATTAATTATATAGAGTTTCAATATTGTTTATAATTCTTAAGACATAAAATATTCTATATATTCATTACAGTGCTAAAGAGGATCTAGATAACATGAAAGTAATTATGAG